TTATTGTTTTAGAGTCAAAGAAAAATTTCCACCTAGGAAGACTAAATAGTTTAATAATATTTTTTCCTATATATAGGACTCTACCAACAAAACAAAAATGTGGATTATTGCTTGCTTGGCTATTCGTCTGTGAACCTAATTAATTTATTCGTTATTGACTTTTGCTCAATTAAATTTCTTATGTATACATTGTATATGGTATTTTTATTGTTGTTGATAATGTTGTTTTTCATGTCTTATTTATTTTATTTCTCCTATAAGTGATGGAGATATATAGATATTATTTATAATGTATAAATGTGTTCTTTATGTCACCTAATTAGCTTTACATCCTGAAGAAACATATGGTATGTTAGAAGATAATTTATCTTTCACGTTGCCAGTAATGGCGAAATTAATAGTAAATAATAAAGATTTTGTGGTATTCTCATTTAGTGACATAATTATATTAGTTGTGTTACCACCCCCATGCCACTAGAGGCAGTAGCAGGCCCGAAAAGATGTGACTAAGAAGCAGATTTAGAAGTACAGAAAGCTAAGGAATTTGTTAAAAGCTGTGAGCTGGGCTGAAGTAAATAAAAAAGAGATGTTGAAATATATGCTGAGAGTGAAACTCCTTCCTACAGATGAAGCTATATCACAGATTTCAAAAGAAAATTTAAACGGGTGAACGCGGATAATATAGGAAATAGCGCCCCCTTCACTTCCGGACTGCAATGGTCCCATTTCCAAATAAGGTAAGAGACTGACAGTGGTCCGTCCCCGCCCCTTTCTGTTTGCTGCAGCGAGGTGTACTTGCCCAGACGTGCTGACAATGTTTTCCTCCATGTTTCTTCTCTGGCCGTTGGTCGGAGCCGGGTCGGGTACGGTACGCTCCGTGTTGAAGAAGTGAAATGAACAAGCGTTAATTCTGTGATCTTTTTCAGTTTATTCATCTTGGTTTCCTCACCTGTCGAAAAGGATCGGTGGTTCCTGTGAGCCACCGATCGCACGAACAATCCAGTTTCACTTTGGTTGCATGTTGACAACACGCTCCTAGGTAAAACTGCAAACAACACAAGAGGTGCCAAAGCTTAAAAAAACAAAACTGACAAAAATAAGGACGAATTACCTGAAAAGCTGCTAGCTACATACGATTCGACAATAAAACAAATCACTCTACTTTTGTCTTAGTGGAGAACCTTCAGTCAGTTCTACAGCCACACGACTAGGAATATGGTGGAAATGCTAATTACTGTAGATAAGATAATGGCTTCTTATAAGTCTTTAGTGACACTTTTTATCATCTGAGTTATTGACGATGTTTTCTTTCTTCGCTTCCCATCTTCCTCCTTCCTAATGGCCTCAAACATCTCCACTATCGTTCAGGACCGCGATCGCTAACTATTACTGATTGCGTTCAGGAAAGCATGTAAAATGTGAAGTGCAACCGCAGGCAGTCTTCTGACGTGCCACATTGAATTGTTTATCACTTACTATAGTGAACGGTTAATGTTTCAAATGCCAGCTAGGTTAAAGTGTACCACGCCTCAGCAACTCTTAACAACCCATACAGGAAAGAATTTGAATTGGTAACCACACAATACTTCTTCTTTTTTTGTTTTTTTGTTTTCCAGGGTATCTGGAGTGCATGACTTTGTCATCTTGAAAGCCTCGCATGAAAACTTACACTTGCCGGAGCAGCAGAGCGAGCAGCCAGTCGAGCACTAGCCGGGGCAGATTTTGACCATCAAAGGGGGAAATTCCTGGCCTTAATGGGGTTTTAGAATTTCCGGTGTATCTTTACTGTCCACAGAAAACACTGATTACCAGAGGACTGTTATCATACAGACACACACACATACGCCTACACCTTTCACACTCTTAACTTTGAGTTTGCACTTCAGGTGGATGCCCATGCTTTAGACAAGTGAAAGCGGGAGAGGTGTGTGGGAGGGAATTTGACAGCCGAATGACCAAGAGTCCAAATTTGTGGCGTCCGTCATTAAGGCAGCTCGGACTTCGAGCAAATATAAAGGAAAGCCAGCGGAGCACCTCGGTGCGCTGCGGATTGACTCCACGACCGAGACATGGAAGTGAAAGAACAAGAGGCGGCGAAGCAACAAAAGCAGAAGAGCAGTGCAGAAAGAAGGTAAAGAAAAAACACAAGGCACACTTTTGGATTTAAAGCACCTATCTCCAATCCCGCAGCCTTGAGAATGGGATTGGATTACTGTCGGTTAGATTTACTCCCGAGGCTCTTCACCACTACATCATCGCAGGGCCCCCTGCCTCTGGATCAATGGGGATATTTACTGCGCCTGTTTCAGGGAGACTTTCACAGTGGGCAGGGCATTAAACAAACAGCCGACAGGCCCCGTCCCAATGATGGCCTGTCTGTTCACACTGCGCTGTGCCCAAATGTCACACACGTTCACTTGGAACAGGTAGCCAACACAAACAAGTGCAGCTGAAAGAAGGAAATGTTGAGAGATACGCTCTGTGAGGAATTAACAAGAAAGCTAACACTTTCTTTCTTTCTTTTGTTTTTTTTATAAAACGTAAAAAAAGAGAAAAAGGCAGAGAAATGCAAAAGCATGTTTATTCAGATAATTAGCCTTGTAACCTACTCTTAAACTATACTTGTTAAAGTCCTCCTAAATGGACATAGCTCAACTGATCCTTTGTCTGGTTTCTATTAAAAAGTTCTTCACTAGTAAAACAAAATTGCAGGGCTAAATTACATTGTATTCTATTGCCTAATGGAAAAATAATAAAATTCTGAAAGGAAAATCTGGATAACAGTGTTTTTCTATAGAAATAACATTCATACATAGTCACCGCCGGGTCTAACCTCATGTAACCCCGTGTTGAGCAGGCAGGCCAACATGGCTGAAATCACCCAAGCAGCTGGACAAGCAAAAAAAAAAAAAAAAGAGGTAATTGAAAATATCATACAAATGTGAGGAGAATTACCATTTAGTGTCCCAGACAACAGCCTCCTCATACCCGGGTGTGCCGGCCGTCTGCAAAATCATTTGCTAAATGCGAGCGCATGAGTGAAAGCATGAGCGGAATGCATTCTGCTTCCAGACAAATATCAGCAAAGAAAAAAAAAAAGCAATCGTCTCAACAGAGGAAAAACAGTCAGCATGAGATTTCTTCATTACTCGGCTATTTCTCTGACTAAGCTCCCGGTGATCAGCTGACAGCGCGGTGTCAGACAATGGGCCCTACACACAGGGAGCATCGAGCATTACCGGATCAGCCCCAAAGAGCTCTCCAGGGCTCTTGAGGAGTTAACTCACATCCATCAACATGAAAAGTAATATGTGTGTAAAAGTGAAATGGGAAGAAGGGGAGTGGGGGTGGAGGGGAGGATAACAGAAAAATAAACACTCCTGGCTCAGTGGTGAAAGCCCATATAAGCTGGACTTTGATAGACCAGTCATTGCCTGGCAGCGGTGGTTTATGTCCGGGGTGACTGACTGGGTTTTTGCAGCAGGAGTCATAAATGGTATTTTTGCACTGAAGGGGGGCGGAGGGGATATATTTGTCTTTATCTCACATTTTGACTGTACTTGGGTCTCCATGTTATACAAAAGACTGTAGCTGATTTAACATTTACATGCATTCGTTTTCAGGCGTGTCCTTGCAGAAGAAATTGGACCGATTCATTCTGAACGGCCTCAAGTGTTTCATTTTGACCTCGATGGATGACTCCTCTTGGCAGGAACGGGTGTAAGGACAAGCTAATTTGACTTTGTATTGTGAGGAATTCAGGATAAGCCCCTTACATTAAAGTCCTCCACGAAGTCGTTAGACACAGATAAGCATTCAAACGCTCTTTTGATCTCAGCGCCTGCATGATTGCGGAGCTTTCATCTTGCAGCTGATGTGGATGCAGTTTGTTTGTGGTGGAGATATTGCTTTATCCTGTCTTTCTAAGGATATATATAGATTTTATTTTTATGTACATGTGGTAATTGTGAGAGCTGGACACTCTTTTGTCAAGAGTGTGAAGTCGTGCAGATGTGCGTTTGCACATGTGTGCGCCATGTGTCATCACGGAGTCCCCTGTAATGTTATTACTCAGACACATCGCTGTCTCACACTTTGGCTCCGGTGCCACAGCTTTGGCAGACGTCTTACCTTGGAAAGGAAAACTGTGTTTAACAAAGTCACAACATGATACTCCAGCCTGATTTGTTTCTATAATGTTCTCCTGTATTAAACCTAACAGCAGTGACTTTTAAGTCCGGCTTGATTGCAACACGTTTCATTGGGGTTGCTACAAATTCATTTCAATCATGTGCTATTTCGGATAATGAATGGAAATACTGAGAAAGAAATGAATGGGTTAGGAAGTTAATTTTTCACTCTGTGTGATGTTAGAATTGAGGTTAATAAAACCTGTCCAGTTTTTTTTTTTTTTGTAGAATTTAAAGAAAGCTAATTTGACAATATCATGAATAACGTCTCATATTAGCACATTCTTTCACATATCAGGAAGGTCTGCACATTTCCTCTGTCTGGGTAATGAAACGAGCCAATGTTAAAAAGTATTGATGCAGAAAAAAAGAGCAATTTTTCTTTTCTTTTTTTTTAATCTCCAACTCTTAAAAACCCTGATCAATAAAAATAATTAAACTCACTTTCAACAGGCTTTAAAAACAAACCCTTTTAGAAATATAAAACATGAAAAAAGAATTAATTTATTATCATTCAGTTATTTATTTTGGAATTTTTTTTATTATAATGAAGCAGTTAGCGCTGAATTTATAAGAAAACGTAACTGGACTGAATCATTTACTAATATATTCTAATCAAATGACAAAACAATCTCCTCATTGGTAATAACAGGTATATAAAAAAATGTATTTCAATTTCGTGATTAGAAATATTTTACATTTTGCGTTTTAATTTCTAAATGGGAACAAAAAAAAAAAAGACAGGTAAAAGAGGAAAAAAAATACCCGAGAGATAAAGAGACCATTCAGACGCACACACGCACACACACACCTGTTTTCCTTTTTTATTTGAGGGGGGGAGGGGAGGGGGTTTGATTGGGCGATGAGTTTTGCACTCTTGACGAGTTGCAACAGATGCAATAACAGAGAACCGACTCAGTCAGCTGGAGCAGTGGTTTGCTGAAAACAATGAAAACAGCACGTGATAGATAGCTCAGTCAAAAGGTTAACGGTAACTCACAGACAAAAACGTCTTGTTTTTAAAAAGTGCATTCACAAACATGACAAATAACTCTCAACTCATGATGTCTATTTTATGTGATACAAAATATGCATACCTGTTTTAGATTTGTCTGTATTTCTATACATAGATATTTCTTCAAAAGGTTCACCTCTTTTTTTTCCTTCTTATTTTTATTTTTATTTTATTTATTTATTTTTTTACAAAGGTTAAAAGCAGGGTTGTGGTCATAGCAGCTTTGGATATCTCTTGCCTCCTTGTCATGTGAGAAGATACACATGGTGTCAATAGATATCCAAATAAAACCTACAATTTTATCTCTGTTGGTCAACTCAAGTGACACACTGCCTTTATTAACAGAGATACTCATCAGTGAAGCCTGCTGTTTATAAAAAAAAAAAAAAAAAAAAAAAAAAAAAATGCTTGGGCTGTTAAATATATTTTTGAATACCCGCTTTTTTTTTTTGTCAATATCATAAATACTAAAGACACGGGACAACATTATAAGACAATGCTGAGAGACTAAATGTAAAGATTAAAATAGTTCAAACATTATTTTTTCAAGTTTTCTAGTTCATGAGAAAACAAACAAAAAAAACAAAAAAACAAAGGTTGTATCAAGCGAGCACGAAAACACTACACTTCAGTCTTTTCTTCAGTTTCGCCTTGGCCCGTGCGTTTAAAAGAGCTACCGCTAACGGGGGCTGCTGGACAAGTGTCAGACTGTCGTTAAACAAAATTGTTCCCGTGTGAACTTTGTCCTATCCGTTAAAAGATGCTTGCCCATTGTCGCTTAGGCAGGATCCTGGTTTCCAAAGGAATTCATAAAAGCAGTCAAACATACCAATAAAAACAAAGAAGTACCATGCATATCTTGCAAGACGACATATTCTCAAACAAGAGACAAAGTTTTCTTTGTATAGATGAAATATCAAGTGAGAAGGGAGTGGGTGAAAGGCAAAGGCCTCTAATCAATACTAAATACCATAATTCCAAAACCAAACAAAAAAAAAAATCTGTACACAAAGAAGTATGCATGAGTTTAGACTGGATCAGCAGTTTGTTTGTTTTCTTTTTTTTTCCTCAGTAATTTTCTCATCATACTTTAAGTCTTTGCCAAACTGCTACAATACAGACAAGTTTTCAGTTGATCCCAATCTCTTTGTTCTCCTCCATATATCTGGAAAAGGGTCGACTGGCTGGAACCTCCAGACCAGACTTCTCCATACCCGTGATGGGGGAGCTTCTGCCAGTGTGAACACGGTCCATGCCACCTCCAGGCATGGCTCCCAAGGAAGTGATTCCCGTCCCGCCGAGGCTGACGGGCAGCTGGGTGATGCCTCCGTTCTGAATCACAGAAATCTCATTGTTCTTCATGGCCAGGCCGTTGGTGATGGCGGCTGCGTACTGGTTCCAGAAGCCCGGGTCCACGTTCATGGCGCGGGCCGCCAGGTCCTTCTGAAACATCTCGCTGAACTTCATGGCGTCGCCGCCCAGGAGGGCCATGGGATTCTCCACCGACAGGCGTCGGCCCCGGCGAGCGGGGGCGTTGTTCCACATGTGTGTTCCCATGTGAACCTGAAGGATTCAACAAAATGAGCAGAACAAAGTCAAGCACGGTGAGGCATTTTCTGTACGTCAAAACTGTAAATGACTCATGAATAACATGCTGCGGTCTAAAATGAAATAGAAATTGCAAAAAATGTTACATTAAAGAAACTAACCTCCTTGATGAACTAATTAAAGAAACCCCAAAAAACAATGCAACAGTGGTGTCCATCTATAGTGCTCAAAGGACAATATTTCCACATGTTTCTACTCCAGTAGCTGATTTAGGTGAATGAATCACCTAATAGTCAAGTCGTCAAATTCAGTAGATGCCTGTTTATGAACCATTCATTTTAATAAGGTTTGTTGAAATGTCAAAACACCTAAAATATGTAGGACGCTGCTTTTGAGGACTAACAACAGCCACCACTTTATTATATCAAGCAAAATGACAGAACAGTTTAGTCATCAGTAACTTTGAATATATATTGGTGGTTTGATCCTGAAATTAATCTTTTATCCAACCAACCAACTCTCTTCCAGAGTAATACGAGAAACTGTTTCACCAAGCACGTTTCCATGAAGTTGATGTGTTCCTGCAACCAGAATGACCCAGTGTGTCCAGAATTTGTTTTGGGTCTCACCTTCAGATTGCCCTTTGTGGTGAAGGCCCTTCCACAAATGGAGCAGGCGAAAGGTTTCTCTCCCGTGTGTGTGCGCTCGTGGATTTGAAGCGCGCTGGCCGAGGAAAAATTCTTCCCACATGAATGGCAGTTGTGCTGCTTAGGAGTGCGACGTGGAGGCGGCGGTGCCAGCATAGGGTTGATGCTGGGGCTCATGGTGGTCGGGGGCGCTGCGGCTGGAACCTGAATGCCCACGGGCAGGTGAGCGCTGTCGCTCAGAGACTTCCCGTGTCCATTAATTTCCATCTTGATCATGTTTGTTGCCGTACTGGCTAAATTAGGAGTACTTAGTCCTGAAAAACAAACACAAAGGTAGTATGTTAAGTGTTCATGTAATAAATTTGCATATAATAATTTAACAAAGTAGGAGGCTGATAATTCTCTCAAAACATGCATGTTTTCATAAGCCAACATTCTGGTAACTGGTATTATGAGAAAATCAACAATATATACATTAAATTTGATCAGGTTTTGCTCAGACTCACCTCGATCTCTGTTTAGAAACAGCATGTTGAAGTGGCTCTCCTCCTTGATGAAGTGCCTGCCAGGTTGAGTGGCAGTCAGGTCAAGGGCCCCAGTCCCTTCAGTAGCAGAATGGGGAGACGGGGTCTCTGATTTTTCTGACTTCACTGTTGCCAGGCCAGATGCATTGTTCTCCTGGCCCTCCTCTGCTGTCATTGCACTGCTGCTGTTGTTGTTATTGAGTGTAGCTGGGGACTTGGACTGCTGGCTCTCAGAATGGCTGTGAGCTGGGGACAAATGCTGCATAGAGTCAGAGGACTCTGACAAAGCGGGGCTTCCCAAGCTCTGACCTTCAGCATCCCCCACAGCAGCCAGGGAATCAGCTGTAAAGCAGTCAGTATCCCCAGGAAAGCTGCTGCCATTCTGTGCAGTCTTCAGGCCAAATGTGCGACTTATGTTGGCAGTAGAGTCAATCATCTTCATCTGGTTTTCCATTGCAGCAATGCTAGAAATGATAGATGTTGGAGGTGAGCTCCCAGGTGAATAGGGTTTAGAAGGGTCTACTTCTCCGTCTTTTAAGTCCATGTCATCATCCATAGCCTGCTCCATTTCATCCAGCAGGTCGTCATCATAGTTACTCATTGCATCTAGACTCTTTTCATCGAAGGACACATCCGTGTCCATCTCCTGCAGACTTTCAGGAACAGGGGTGTTGGGAATCTGCCCTCCCATGTGCATACGGATGTGTTGTTGCAGCACAACAGCATTGGTGAACTTTTTCTGACAAATCGGGCAGGAGTGCTGGACTCGAAGTGGTGGTTTCGACCTGTGCACGCCAAAGTGCGTCTTTAGATTTCCCTTAGTAGTGAATGCTCGTCCACATATCTTGCATTTGAAAGGCCTCTCGCCAGTGTGGATACGGTAGTGCATCTTCAGAGCACTCTGGCAGCTCAGAACACGATGGCAGATGACACACTGGTTGGGATCGGTCATCTTCTTATCAATGTTCTCGACAAGCTGCTGCAACTTTGACGTCTCTGAGGTTTGCATAGAGTCTAGGAGACCTCCAAAGGGAAACTTTGCCTTAAACTGGTCAGAAAGCATTGGAAGGACAGGATGGGAGACAGAGTTTGAAGCGGAGTTGGGACTGCTGATAGGCTCAGTGAGTTGGCCACTGCCTGACAATGTCGTAGAGGTGACAGTGGTGGGAAGAAGTGCTTGACTTACTGTGGTTGTGGTGGCTGTGCTCTCTCCTGGCCTAATAGGGCAACTTGGTGACAAGAGAATGCCTTCAGGTTTCAGGAGCGGAGGTGCATCACTCCCAATGCTAGGTTTCGGAGAGGGTGAAGTAGTGGTTATGCCAGAATCATTGGCGATATTTGGGGACAAAGATGCACACTCACTTGTGGGTGGCGAAGGCCTCTGAGGGGACCTGTTAAGCGGAGTGAGGCTAGGAGAATCTGTAAAACCTCCAATCATACTGGGAAGCGTTGGAGGCAGCTGGAGGCCAATGGATGTGGGGACAGTGGGGAGGACTGGTTTACTGTCGAGCCAGGTGGTTACAGGTTTTTCAGGGGGCAGCGACATGCCGTATGGAATACCGGAGCTTGTGGGCACATTGTCCAGGTACTCTGGTACAGGGTAAGGGTTCATTTGAATGTGTGGGTATTTTTCTTTGTGCCTCTGAAAGTGGACTTTAAGATTCCCCTTCGTGGAGAAACGATTGCCACATATATTGCATTTGTAGGGCCTCTCTCCAGTGTGAGAGCGCAGGTGGATCTGCAGGGCGCTGTCGCTGCCAAACACCTTGGCACAGAACCGACACTTATGCTTAAAGAAGGGGTCTTCGGAGCTGGGCTTGGTGTCAAACACAGACACATTGGGGGGCTTTCCCTTGCGGTGTTTCATTAGAGCAGAAAGGGGGTCAAGTGCGTTGGCTGTGGCTGCTATGCTAGCCAGTGGATTGGGGAAGATGACGCTGCTCGAGGAACTGTGAGGTATCAGTGGTAGACTGGAGGCAGAGTTCAGGAGGCTGCTGTGACTTAGCGAGGGAGGGGTGGTGGAGTTCCTGGGAAGAGCTGAAGTGCTGCTGACACCACCCCCGCCTCCTGTTAGGCTGCTACTAGTGCTACTGTTGTTATTTGAGACAGTGGATGAGCAGGTGGGATGTAGGGCTGGCAAGCCAGAACCACTTGGTGGTGGAAATGGCGAGTTGTTTGACGATGTGTTTGGAACTGAGGAGTTAGACTGCGGAGTACTGCTCTGCGGTGTTTGAGAGAGAGGCCCTTCTATTGCTGAGGTCAGAGGTGAAGGTCCTTGAGCACTAAGGGTGGCAGGCAACCTGACAGGTAGCTGATGGACAGGAGGTGTGATGAAGTTATGTAAATGAAGCTGGTTTGCAACGGGAGGGACACAGGAGGATACAGAGCCCTGGTTTCCCGCAGCACTGTTGTGATGGTGGCTGAGAGCAGGTTGTGGCGCAGACTGTCTGTTCATGAGGGCCACTTGACTTCGTATTTGTTCTATGAGCTGCAGCTGATGAATCTGTTGCTGCTGGAGAGCCATAAGCTGGTCCAGGATCATAGGGATAGCCATAGTGGACACCCCACTGCCCGCTGCCGCCGCCGCCCTTACACTCTGCGAAAACTGGGCAACCGCAACCCTAGTACCGTGCAGGGTCTCCAAGGTAACATTGGTGCTTGGCATGGTGTAGCTCGTAATTGCAGAGGGGACAACATCGCTTAGCTGAGGTAGGGAGCCATCTGGCTCGGGTGATGTCACGTCTCTCTCTTCGGAGTCTATATTTTTGTCAGGAGAAAGCTCCAGCTCCATCTGCTCATCCTCCTTTTCCAGGACACTGACCCCATTTAAGGGATCCGTCTCTGGGATGTCGTCGCCCTCGCCGGCAGGACTCTGGTTCCCCTCCCGGGCGTCCTCGCTGTCGTCTTGTTCGCTGTTGCAGCTCGGGATGGGCGAGGGCTCTGAAGGGTACTCCTGGGAAGGGTTCGGCGTGTCCTCATTGTCGTTCACGATGAGCACAAGGGGGTTCTTTGTACAGCTCTTTAAATGTTCACAGAAGTCTGACCACTTGAAGAACTCGGCACAACACTTCTCGCACACGTGGGTTTCTTCACTGCCGCTGCGGCTCTCGTTCCCGCTGTCGGCATCGTCCAGCACATCACCTTGGGCTGCAGGGAGGGGAGAGGGCAGAGAGGAAGGGAGGAGGGGGATGATGAAAGAAGAATTAATGAATAAGTAATCAATAAAGAATTCACACATATTTTGCAGTAGAGAGCAGCAAAGATTTAACCTTTGATTTTTCACCCCCTCTCTTTTAACATAACCAAAATCAATATTCTTTCTATTTTTTTTTTTTTTTGCTTTTTACGCTGAACAAATTACCCTAGTTCACCAACTCTCAAGACCCAGATTTGTGCATTCACACCCTCTCCATAGAGCCAGCTAATAATTTTCTTTGTGCAATCCATCAAATTATGAGGGCCTATCAATTGTGGATACTGCCGCTTAATGAAATTCCATAGAACCCATTGATTTCCAATATTTCATACAATTCACAGCTGCCTCATCTGTTGGGTACAAATAAGGACTTTGATGGCCCCATTAGGATTCCCCTCTGCTATCAAGCTCAGTCATTTCCACCTGAATTTCAAACGCTCAGGCCTTTCCCGTTTGTCCTTTATAGCACCGCAAAGGTAATCCGCGAGCCCCGAAAAGCACGGCACTCCCGAGCCTTCAAGCTTAGACGTTGTTACAAATCGACTCCTATTTTAACTAAAAATGGAAGAACATGAAGGAAATTGGGCATTTCAAATGAGCGCAGCCAAAAGAATTTAAATTCTCTGCAACAAAATGTTCTTCTAAAATATTCAGAATGCTGCAGAGTTCCTTTCAGCTACTCACTTTTTCTTCCCAACACTAGACTCTACAAATTACATACTTGTGCCATGGCAGCAAAGTCACTGATTAGTTACACATGTTTAATCACAGTTGTTGGAAGCCACTTCCTCTTCCACATGCAGTCCTCGAGAGTCAAACAAACCGGCACAAGCTCTGAACATGGATCCAGTTCACACTTGATCAAAACCGAGGCAAATGTCCTCTTGTGTAACTTTATTTTTTTCTTCCCTCTTTAAGAGTAGTTATACAGCATGTCTGTGTCTCTGTGTGTATAATGTGCACAAATAAGTAAATTTAAACAAGGCAAAGGGAGGAGGATTATCAGCGTCAGGACACACCAAAACATCAAAACAACAAAAAGTCATACTTTAGATGAAAACCGAAAGACATATTTCTTGCAGGTGAAAGTCCTTTTGGTGAAAGAGGAGAACGTGATGGATGTCATTTCCTCCTGTATGGAGCATAAAGTCACTCCCAGCTCTACCTGTTGCTCCACTCTCTCATTCACTATGTCGAAATAAGTGCACAACACTTTTACAAGTGTGACAAACAGAAGATTGAAACGATTTTAGCTTCTTGTGGAGTAGAAACTGGAGGAGCAAACAGCCATCAGTCTTATTAGGGAGACTTCGTTTCAAAACTACAGCTTTACCTGCTGAACAGCAGATAATTTCACTAAATAAGCAGCTAATCTTCTTTTTTCTTTGCCAAAACAGCAAAAATATTCAGCACAACAAACAGCTGAAAGCCACCACTAAAGTCACCAGGTGTTTATTCAAAATACTTTTGCTCATTTTTATGAATAAAAGACAGCAGATATTATTACCATCATAGGTAGAAATTATGTGAGCAGCAGCAGTAGGAATATTTTCTTGCTTTTCTGTGCTTTGATTAAAAGAAACGTGATGTTATGGCATGCATTTTTGTTTTAAACAAATCTGAAAATCAAATCTGAAAATATCACGACAGCCTGAAGCCACGGTGTTTTTACGCTTTGAGGATCTCATGCAGGCCTGTGCCTGTCTTCAGTCCCAGCAGGACGTGTGTTCACTCAGTCATTCTGTTGTTTATTGTCATTGATACAAACTGAACCCAAAGATCGTTCAAGCGTCAAATACAATTCACCTTCATTCTTTTTTTTCTTTGCCATTTTGACAACTTATGCCCTGTATGTGACTTATTCAATAAAAATATTAAAAATAAAAAAAATAAAAAAATTACAAATAAGCCAAGGTTCCAATTGCAGAGCCTTGCTTGTGTTGTCATCGCCACTGGCTGCTAGAAGTGACAGTCAATTTTTCTCATTAAGGTAAAAAGAAAAAGAAAAACAAGCAGAAGAAAAATAGAAAACTAACACGAAGCCCACTTTAAATGTACATGCCTGGAAATGCAGTCGACACGTGACAGCGGGTTAAAAAGCTCCTTAACCCAGCAGCGGACAGCACAACTCATTTCCATAATTGAGGGTTGAAAGGTCAACACAAATGAGCAGGCATTGTGTTGAGCTGATTAGTTATTAGAATGGTATTACTGTCAATCTCTTTTATTCATTCATACAATCACAAGTGGGGGCCTTTGTGTGCCTCTGACCTCACACACTCACACACACTGGCACGTTTTCCAAAGACAAAGAGTGTACTCAGACCCTGTGCATATATGTGGAGATCAGCAAAATAAAAAAAAAATGTATACGTATACACTGAGAATTTTTATTTATATTTATTTATTTAACACAGACTTGACAATCTAAAACTGACTCATATTAAAGTCGATCCAAAAACAGACAAATAAAAAGACTTCCACTATTGTGAATTTACAAGTTCCTCACATTAGAAGAAGAATGTATAATTATCCAAGATTAAAAAAAAAAAAAAAAAAAGCTCAGCTAAATGAATTAAATGCTAAAACTCGATAGGTTGCATGTATGTGTTCGCCGTTTAAAATGTCAGACAAACGGGACAAAATAATAATAATAAAAAAACGATCAGGAGGCAGAGACGTGCTGCTGAGTGTGTGAGTTCAAACGCTGCAACAATTAGTCAGTGTTAATTACAGCGATGCCATCCACCGCCATAAACCACCTGAACGCTTCTGAACCTCGAGTGAAAACATCACAACGTGTTGGAGGCTCAGGGAAAAAAAAGCAAAACAAAAAAAACGCTTCGTCGTGCAGCTGTCAGAATTGTTGCATCTTTGCAGCACGAAGGTGTGTGTCTGCAGACGCGTGCGCCCCTGTCTGTGTGTGTGTGGAAGAGTGTATTGATTTTCTAAGGACTATAGGATGAGAAAGGGTGGGGGGGGGGAGGAAAAAAATCCAATCTGTTTTTCCATTCCTTTAAAAGTCTTCATTTACGCAGATGTAAATATTTAGCTGAACGCAGTCAATGGAGGGATTGTTGGGACTGAATCTGTGTGTCCACTTTTGTTTGTTTATTTTATTTATTTATGTATTTACTAGAATCACTAATTTGACATAAAACCTCAGAGATGTTTTTGTACTAATTCTGTAAAGGACATACAGGAAGGGGATTGACAAAAAGAAAAGGGAAAAAGAAAAAAGCAAACAAGCGCCGACTACGCTCCCGTTTCTTCGTTTTCCAGATTCAATTAATAAGACACAGAAACGACGAGCGACGCTTTTCACATCCGAAATGTGTCTTTTTTTAGAAAGGGGGAAAAAAAATCAGGTATTGTCATTAATTCGCCAGCTTGTTTTCTACATAAACCGTCGATGATCAGCATCTGTGCTCTAATTATTCCCACATCATCCATTTCTTTCAAGAATCCAAGGACAATCTCACACTCAGAGAGAGAGAGAGAGAGATGATTCACTGTGAGTTTGCTCTCCAGCTGGGAGAAAAAAAAAAGAAGGCCTGAATGCTTCCAACAATGTTGGAATTCTGTGATTACATTTTTTCCGGTAAATGTTCTTTTTAAAATAAAACATAATAATAATTCTGCTCCCGGAACTGTAATCATCCAGATAATCATTTTCAAAAATAAATGTATGCTATAGGTTCCAGTGAGGACTGAAAAGATGAAAAGCACTCTGCTTCGAGACGTCCACAATACGGCTTAAAATTAATTATGTGAATCTCTCTAGTTGAAGTTTTGCTCAGTGTCAAAGCTGATGCATTAATTATTTTCCTGACATTTTTTTGTTGTTGTTTTCTTTAGTGTGTGTGCGTGTGTGCTTTGGCTATTGAACAATTTCTGGAGACTGATGTCTGCGAGGCAACACCCCGGTGAATCCCCCAGACCTGCCGGAGGCTCGGCCTGCTCCGAGGCCGGATGTGCGCATGTCATCGAGTGGTACAGTCATATCTGCAAAAACAACACATACACACACTCACACACACACACAGAGAGGCCTTTTGTCATCCCCCTGCAGATGTGGCGCAGCCAAAACATTAACGATTTGTTTGTGCAAGCGTTCGCAATACAGTATTCAATGACGGCGCTCCGTCCGGATGGCCGCGCCGCTCGGCGCGATGGCCCTCCTGTGCCTGGGGGGAGCAGGAGGTCCGACACGCGAGCACACGGACGTTTCATCAACTTATGCTCTTTCTAAACTCAATATTCGCAGCAGGGTTCAACTACTGAGCAAAATCGGTTTTGGAGTTTGCTCGTCCTTTGCATTAAAAATCTGCATCTTTTATAGCGGTTAGGGTTACGGTTAGGTTCTGTGAAGCACAAGAGGAAGGAGGGTTAAGGCAGGAGGGTTGGGGGTGGGGTAGAGTAAATTTGACCTGACACTGCAGGGCAACCAGGCCCACCACACTGTTTGCCATGCAGGACAGGGAGGTGTGGGGGGGGGTGGGAGAAAGTGCAACATCTTCAGCAGGTGATCAGTAAGCCTCCCAAACACGCTCCAGTCAAGTCAAACAGCGCCTTCCGTCTTCCTGCCTCGGCCCTTCCTCTCGATCCGGATCGCGCTTGCTCGTGCGCCGTTTTCAAGCTCCGAGTAGTAATTAAGACACAGCCATCTTTTTTTTTTTTTTTTTTGAGTGCCTTCTCAAAAAGACATCCTTGGCACATCCACGTGGGTGGTCCGCAGGCCTGCACCCAGTGGTGAGAAGGGATTAAAACAAAAGGCAAACAAAAGCCCCACTGCAGGGGAAGTGGGCAACAACTATGTTGTCACTGTCAGCAGGGGTTTTAGCACTCGCTCCATAATTTCTCTCTCTCTCTCTTTTTTTTTAAACTCTTCAACAAAGCACAAAAGAAGAAGGTTCTGACTGAATCATTTATCTCTCTCCGAGGATGTCAGCCTTGAATTAATTCAAACAAGGGTTTCAGGAATGTTGCGGCTAAAATAAATGAATAAATAAATGAATAAAAGGTAAAAGAGCAACTGATTTATGCTTGCTCATCCATGCCCTGCATTTTCCCTGAACTCTCTCCCCACTGCACACAGGTTGAACGTAAAAGTGCAAAAGGAGTGACGGTGTGCTGCTGCTGCTTCCCACTCAGACACGAGTGAGCTGTGCTGCCAAGGTCAGCAGCACGCATGTTCTAATTGTACAAAGAGCTTGACATCTAGCGGCAGGATCTGCCCGGCCAGGGGACTACACAAAGGTTAAGTCAGCAAGCTTTGTAAAAGCACTCCTAAGCTGACAACCCCTCCCTCCTTCCTCTCCCCATGCTAACACAAATACACTACCCCCCCAGCCCCCCAGTCATCGAGCCCCCAGGCGAGGAGGTAGAAGGGTGGGGGCAAGTGTCCAGAAGGCCTTAGAGATGGCAGCAGACATAATCTCTGGCACTTTATTTCAGTTTTTCATGTTTTGTTTTGTTTTTTTGCTGCAGTGATGCAAGACAATTACCGTGTTTGAGCTGAAGAAGGGGGGAAGCTTTGTCCAAAACACATCAGATAAATTGGAAGGTTTAGGGAGAAAATATAACGTTTTTATTTAACTTTTGGGTTTCTTTTATTTAACAAAATGAACGCCTTACTTTTTTTGTTTGTTTGGGTTTCTTTTTATCATTTCCCCTCCCACGAATATGAATTTCAACTTCGAATTGGAACTTTTGAGCTCCTTCGGGGAGCAGGTTTCGAAAGGCCAGCGGTCGATACGGATCGCCGTGGCGACGGGTGGTAAGAAGAAGGAAAAGCGGAGAAAACCGGTCAAGACGACGGCATGGCGTTGAGAGCCGGATGCGACGTGGCGTTATTAGGTTTGGTGAAGTGACTGTGTGGGGATTCGACATGCCGTGCCAAAAACAAAAAGGTCGGGATTGTTTCCATCCCCCCCTCACCTCAACACACACACACACACACACACACGCATGAGGACAAACCAGCCAGTGTGGTGCAACAATGAGAAGAGGACATTCCACGGCCACTTCCAGGCTCAGGCACAATGGCATTGTCAGGATACAGTAAAACAAAAAAAAAAAAAAAGAAAAGTTGCAAGTTGAGTTGAGAAAAATTCAGTAAAGTCTACATTTACGTTATCTACTCCCGTTTCTAGATCCATCTCTCAGCAGATTTTCAACAGAAACAAGAAGTCCCCCCACCCCCCTCTTTTTTTTATTTTATTTTCCACATTATAAATCCAACAGGAGAGAAACCTGATGGATGTTCTGTATCTCTGCCCAAAATTCAAGGGGGTGATAGGAGGGGAACAGGGAGGAGGGGTAAAACGGGGCGATCTGAGCCCCCAAACACTGACGGTGTTTGTGTTTTTTGTGACTGTGAGCAGCCCATAAATTACCCCCCAAAAAACACAACAAAAAAACAATGAGCAAATTGGACAAAAGGGCCAGGAGTCATTAATGTGAACCCCCTCTGTCTCCATACACACACGCACACACACACCCCTACACACACACCTCCCTACGCAGCCACAATTCAACATGCAAAGACAGCCGCTCCCCCGAGATTACATCACGCATTTCTTTCCTAAAGAAGCCCAGAGATGTGTGTGTGAGTGTATGTGTGTGCACGAGCGCACAAGTGTGTGTTTTTGTCAGTGGAAACGCAGACATCACCAGATTTTTCTTTTTTTTTTTAATTCTACCTTCAAAGCCGTAACTTTGTGACAGATTTGCATTTCGACAGTGTAATACGAAGGCCTGAGCCGAAGAAAACGTTGCATCAAATTTCAACATTTTCTCAAATAGTTGCTGCACTTTCCAATATCATTTCAGCGCTCCAAATTTTTTAATTGTTAATTTTTTTCCCTTCCCCCCCCCCCCCACTTGTTTGCACAATTCCTACAGCTGCCTCCAGACTTTACTTTAACTCTAATATAGTGATGTTTTAGAGGCGCAGGCTGAAGGATAAATAATCCCTTCTCTCCATATGGCGAGGACAAGCTCTGTCAAGCGATGTTGTCGAGATTGTGAGCAAGAAAGAAAAAAAAGGAGGTGGGGGGGACAAATCAAGTGTGGTAAATTTATGTGGAGGGGCTTTGAGGGGTGTTTGGGGTAGAGGGATTGGGGGGGGGTAAACAAAAAAACATTTCCATGACAAAAAAAAAACAAAACAAAAAAGAAAACAAGGCTTCGACCTGAAACAGACTCCCGCATTTTGACCCCTTCTTACAAAGCATTTAAGACAAAAGACAAAAAAAGAGAAAAAAAACAAAAACAAGCAAAAAAAAAACAAAACAAAACAAAAAAACCCCTTAAAATGACATTTAACACAAATTAAATTTGAGGCCTCACATGAAGGGTAATGCCACATTTTCAAAGACAGACAGGAAGAAATAAGATTGTCAACTATCCCACGGTGTGTGTTTGAAGAGTCGTAGTCATAACGACATAATCAAGTGGAAAACGACGCAGATGTACAGCTCGGATGTTTACATTTGCAGGATTTTTTTTTTTTTTTTTTTTAAAAGAGGGCCTTTTTTTTTTTTTTAAGAAGGAAGGCCTCCTGCAAAGAAAAGCCAAGCCTCCAAATATGTGAAGCGCTACTGCGTCCAGGTCGCTTTAATGTACGCGTCTGTTCCATTAATCCTAAAGGTCATCTGTCAGCCAACAGCCGATCATGATGCAATCTGTGCGACAATCAAAAGGCAAAAACTTTCCCGCAGAATAAAACGAGGAACTCCTGCGTCGACAAGTGGATTATTGAACTTATAGAAATATGTTTTTTTATTTATTTTTTTATCAATTTCATAAATAACCTACACAAGAACCTTAAGAATAACGCACACTAATTCATAAATAATAATAGCAATAATATTAAGTGTTTTACTCTGAGAGAAAAGTTGAAAAAATATCTGAGGTCGGAAGCTGACCGGATCCCACTCACCGTGCTCGGAGATCACCCCGGTCAGTGCGGGATCCTCGTCCGACTTGAGGTGCTGCGGCTTGGCTTGCTTGCGTCGGGACATGCTGCTGCTGCTGCTTCGGCTGCAGGCGTGAGTGCTGGCGGTGCTGCTTGCGCTGATTTGACGCTGATGTGTCCGCGCTGTGCAGATGCATCAGCGAAGATCGACTTAAAAAATTGTTTTTTTTTAAATTATATATATATATATATATAAAAATAAAAGTAAAAAAAAATAATAATATTAATAATAAAAGTTCACAAACAGTCTGCGGCGCTTTGGAAAGTGTGTGTTGTGCTGTTTGTGTGTGTGAGAGAGAAAGAGGGGGGTTGCAATCTGGGGAAATTAGCCAGTGTTGCCGCTCCTGTCGCCTCTGTCGCTGTGCGTCGGATTGCGCATGTCGGGATAATAATTATGATAGTGAATAATGCCTCGCGATTAATGGCACCGTGTGAAGGTGGGGAGGATTGGCTGGGGTCCAGCGGACGCGCATTGGATATGGTAATGAGGGACGGACTGAGCAATTAGAGTTTTTTTCTCCTCTTTTTTCCTTCTCCCCCCTTCCTCCTCCTCCTCCGTCCGTCCGTCCGTCCGTTCCCCCCACACCTCCTCTCACACCTCAACAACACAACACACCAAAATCTCTCCTGTTCTGCCCCGTTCACAGGGAGCTCTCCACAGAGGAGCGTAGGGCTCAAACTCCGCTGTTTCTGGTGCGCATCGCTCAGCCTTGATGGAGCTGGAAAAAAAAAAAGAAGAAAAAACTTCTCAAAGTCTCTTCTGGAACAGTCTGTCTTCCAATCTTGGCTCACTTCTTGCACTCTCTCTCTCTCTCTTTTTTTGTTTGCTCGCACCTCCTCCTGCCCCCCCTCAAAGGAAGCGACTTGACGTGTGGTCTCTCTCTTTAAACTTTTCTCTTGGAGCGCATCTTTGGATGCTTTGGGATTTTTTTTTCTCTTTTTGGAAGTTGCAGTTCAAACCATCACCGCGTTTTTTTTTCTTTTTTTTTTTACGTCGTTGCTTCTTTTTTGTTTTGGCGCAGATCGGTTCTTCCAAAAAAATATATATAAAAAATATAATATAAAAGAAACGAAAAACAGTAAAGCAACAAGAAAAAGAAAAACTTTGACGCGCGTCTTCTGAGAGACCGGCACGGCTTTTCTTTTCTTTTTTTAATGTCTTTCTCTCTTTTTGTCTTGGCTCAGCAACACCACACGCTGATGCGGGAGCCTGAACTTAACTGTCCCCCGACAGAAAAGAAGTCTCTTCAGTCATGTCGATCGCTGTGAACTTGCTGCTTCGCTCCTCCTGCAGCCGAGCTTCAGCTCCCGGTTGCGCCCCTTGCAGACGGTGCGCTCTGCGAAAGCGAGCAAAAAAAAAAAAAAAAAAAAAAAAAAAAAAAAAAAAAAAAAAAAAATTAAAGGAAAAAAAAAAAAAAAAAAAACACCCCCTTTTTTCCCCGGAGAAA